CTTCTTGTTGTACGCTATAAAAGAGAGACCAGCATGCACAGGGTACCCAGTGGTTGCTAATCATACAGTCCTCTGAGCATCTTGTCTCTCTGAACGTCTCAGAACTCATAAACACTTTGGCAACCAAACCTCAAATGGTATCAGATATGTTTTAGGGAGAAAATGAGGTCTTCAAATCCTCGTTTTTCTCCTGGCAGAACTACAGTCAGTGTATTTGTCTTCCTCTCTCCAAACTGTGTTTTTTAGTCTCCTTCCCTCATTTCTTGACTTCTTGGTTTCTTCCTTTCTCTTGCTAAATCCTTTCATGATTTCTAATACCCTACCGAGCACACTTGTTTCCGCATAACCTTTTCATTCTATCTTTTCCACTGCCTAATGTCCCAGAGATAACTTTCCTGCTTACAAGGAAGTCAGTCAGTGCTTAAGGTCTGACGGTGGTTTGATAGAAATGCCTTGGGTACACTTGTGTTTAATCACATGGTTGTCTTTTGGCTTGGGGTTTAATCTCTTTGGTCCCTGCTATAATTACACTGTCCCCCAATGACCTGTATGTGTCAAAGGCTTGCTCCCTAGGCGGGTGCTATGGGGAAGCGACAAAACCTCCAGGAAGCAGGGCCTAATGGGAAGTCAGTCACTGAGGAAGGACCACTGAAGGTGGCTGTGGGAATCTAGCACTATCCTCTACCTCTTCTGCTTAAGCCTGAGATGAAGTTTGTTCTGCCACTGTTCCCCTTCACAGACGTGTGGCATCCCCCACAGGCCTACGAGCAGTGAGTCTGTCCCATCATGAACGAGACCCTCTAATACTGTAAGCCAAAATTAACCTTTTCTCTTTGTAAGTTAATTATCTCAGGTATCTTGCTACAGTGAAAGAAAGGTGACTAATGCAGCCCCACATCCTTCATCTACACAATGCAGATTCTAATACCGTCTCTGCAGGGCAAGTATGACTGCAGATGATCCACGTGCTGTCCCCAGTACACTGCTCACAGGGCTTTCCTTCCATGAACCGTGGGCTCAGCTGTAGAAGGTAGTTCTTTCCCGTTGGTCTTTGTAAGAAAACCAGTGGCTATACTGATACTGATCTGCCTCGTATTGTAACATCTATAAATAATCAACCACAACTATGCATACATAGTAATACATTTTGTGTTTCACTTGTTAAAAAAACCTTTACATATGCCAAATGACTTAATTGGTAATCTAGCAGCTTAAATTGCAATCAGTAATTTTTGAGCTTCATAACAAATGTGTTAAATCTTCAGAATCTTTTTTTTTTTCTAGTACCGGGAATCGAACTCACGACCTTGTGCTTGCCAGGCAGACGCTGTGCCGCTGAGCTAAATCCCCAGCCCCTTTAACTTCTTAATGTACCTTAAATCCTCAAAGTTGGAAATACATTGCCTTTCTGAGTACAGGAGTAATTTGTTTTAGCAAAGACCTAACCCGCTATGTATGGTTACAGAAGCCTACACAACTGCTGATAGTGTACCAGGCAGACCTGGCTGGTCAGGCTGCAGTCTCATGACTTTGCCTGGTTCCTGAGGAGACCTTGCTCAAGGTCAGCAGAGATGGTGTAGAGGAGGAGCCCATCTGACCATTTGGGGGAACCTGAGCTCTGCGTCATCCTCCTGGCAAAGAGCTGATCTGGGACGAAGCAAAAGCCAGAGGTGCTGGTGTGAAAGGAAGATGAGTCACAGGCAAACCACTCATTCTGGAGGAAACATCAAGTTAGAAAAAAGTTTGGGGAAAACTAGCACATATTTAAGGACCACTTAACACTGTAAAAAAGTGCAAGGGTTGCTTCTGCTCCCGGCAATTTCTCAAGCATCTAACAACTCCCAATATAAAAGTGTAAAAAACTGTTCTAGAAAAATTTTGAAAAAACTTTTTAAGGAGAAAATAGTCTTATCCATTCATTAAGTTTGAGTAAGATAAGAAGAAGCTAAAAACAAAGAGAAACATGTAGCTTATTTCCTAAAACTCAAACTATGCAAATAAAGCATAGAACTTGGTATTTATCTACTACTTAAAAAATAACTTGCACACACATGCTCAGGAGGTTTCAAGCTTTAGGATGATTAATTCAAGAAGTCTGATCCAGAGAACATTACAAGATCATTTTATTTCATGCCTTCCTTTCCTTTTTTAATTTTCTTAAACAGAGGACCACTTAGAAAAAGACAAGACCCAGCTTACTCTAAAAACAACATGACTTTACACACACTACGGGGAGTACTGGAAAATGTTAGTGATGCTAATACGTGTGTATCCATCAGGGTGCTCACCTATAATGTCAGGGCTCAGAAAAGAACAAACGCAAGAACATTTGGATGTGGATGCCTTTTGTAGCATTCTTTAGAGCATTTTAAAAAACTGTTCCCGTACCAGTCATGAGGAAAACCTGTACAAAATCAACTCAGTTCATCTCCACACACTGCCCTGACATTATGTGAGAATAAGACAGAGGTGCTTAGATTTAGTACCTATGCCCTAGATGACCTTATGTTCATGAGTCATGTGGCTGAATCCTTTTTAACCTTCCTTGCAGGAGCCAGCTAAATATTTTTATCCACAATAATGCTTATAAAACCGAAGAGTTACTTATGCCTATAAAGGTAACCAGCTGTCATGTATAGGGAGTCAGAAAGGGAGGAACCCCGTGCCTCCAGGACCTCTGCTGGACCAAACACCTCGCTCTGTTGTAGCTTCGTTATTCTCACGTGCCACACGGGAAACTCTGGCTCACAGAACCACAGCAACCAGACCCGGCCCATCTGCACAGTCAGCGAGCAGAAGAGCTGAGGTGACACTCAACAACTCGGCTTCCCAGCGCCTTCCCGTCTACTGGGGCTGCACATTCAGCTGCTGGCAGCGGCAACCTTATTAGCAGAAACCCTGAAGGCCAAGGAGGAGGGTGAGTGTGGGAGGTCACAATGTGCTGCTGCTGGGTTCAACTTCTCCAGCGTAGCAGCGACAGTCCTGTGTCCCAGGAAAAAGCTCGGTGGCGGGCACACTCGGTGGGCAAGCTTCCTAAAACAGTGCAGTGGTGGGCACACTGGGTGGGCGAACTTCCTGAAACAACGCAACGCAGGGAACGCAGGTACCTCAGGAAGGCATTACCCATCAAATCTACCTGTGCTCCAGCTTACAACCTCCACTCCGCCAGGGCTGGAGGAGGAGGCACAGCGCTTTCTATTCCAGCCCACGGAGCCCTCCGCTTTCGTATCAGAACTTAAGTCTGGGATAAGAAGTGAGTGAGATGGTGATAAGAGCGATGAATTCCAGGGTACAGCACTAAGGGACATTTCTGTGATTCTGCCCTTTCTACTGACTTTAGATTTCTGCCCAGCCCAGACCGATTTCTACTTGGCAGCAGGTTAGATTCCGGGGTTCTTGGATAGTGCTAATACCCAACTACAGTATCACGCATAGGCAATGATAATAATTTGTAGCATGCTTGGCATACTATACAAGCAACGTATATTACACACGGATTCTGGAAACAGGCGGTCTGTCCATCAAAGCCGCTGGTAATGTGGAATGTGGCCACTGCAGCTGAGACCGTCGAGCGCTGCTTCACCACTTCCTGACTTGTAGCAGACATGAACCAGCTGGAAAGCGGGCTCCCCCTTTCCTGACCTTTTTCCAACCCCATGCGACAGTATTGAGCTCTTACTCCCTCCACAGGCGGAGGAAGTCACATTTCTCTGACCACTGCTCATTCACTTCCTCAGCTCCTCTGTGGTTAAATGGGTCTGCAAAAGAGACATGGAAAGGCCACTTCTGGGCTCCCGGATTAGCTTATGGAAACCAGATGTGACCTTCAGCCTGGCCAGACGTGGGCAGAAACACCCCACATATTTCCAGGTCTACTGCCCTGTACAGTCCTATCAGTCTTAATCCTCGGGCCAGGGTTCAGGGTCTACACTCTCGGGGGCCATCTGCAAAGAAACTGCTTCCGTGCTGCTGACGCTACCCCAGCTTCTCATTCCCCAACCACAGACTTCACACTGCACTTCTTCAGGTTTAGGATGTCCATCTGTGAAGTGTATTCAAATCACACACATAAAAAGGGCCTTCGGAATACCCGGCAGATTACCGATAGATATTACAGTGTTTAACAAACCGTCACTACTGGCAGATATACAGAAGGGGTATCAGTGAAACCCCTCCAAAGCAAATCCTTCACAGTATGTTGGTCCTGGAAAGGACCTTGAAGTTGAGGAACTTTTTCTTTCCAGATAGCAAAATATCTGTAACCTCAGGCTTCTTGTCTTAATATAATGACTCAGGTTTTCAGAGAGAATCAATACACTTGCTCAGAATAGATCGAAGCAAAGCAATACACTTACCTGAATGATGAGTGAGTATTTTATGGATGGGAGGCAGAGATCTTGGGAAGGCTTCCTTTCTTAAAGTGTTCTCTATAGCAGAAGCAACTAAAAACACAAGAATGGAAGATTGTTTTTGCTTTTTTAATTGGCAAAAAAAATAAATAGAAAATGACAATTAGCTAATAGAGTTAAAAAAAATAAATATGTTAATAAACCCAAGCGTGCCAGATTTTATTTAGAATGCAACCAATTTGCTCATTTTAACTGTTGGTTTGTTTTGATCTGTTTTTAGAGGAAAGCTATGACATCAGGTAGTGAGAAGTTACGTAAACAATCTTTCACACCCTGTCACCTCTTTTCTCGAGCTGTAATAGCGCACTACCCTTTCAGAGAGCCTGAGGCCCTTAGGTCTACACAGCAGGGAGCTGCGGCCCACTCAGGGTGAGGAGCCCCTGAGCACTGATCAGCTAAGCTGGGGCAGAGCTCGTGACTGCCACAGAGCCAGAAGCCACTCGTTCATTCGTTCATTCATTCATCCAACAAGTACTAACTGAGCATTTTGTATGGACCAATACTCTTCAAGGCTGAGGGGCATGAAGATAACAATACATGGCTTTATGAAATTTACACTTCAGAGAGGAGACACTGCAAAAAAGATGCACAAGCCATGGGCTATGGAGGAAGCACACTGCAGGCAGAGGAAACAGCCAAGGCGCTGAGGCAGCCTGTCCAGGCTAAGGAGCTCAGGAGCTCCACGAGGGGAAGAGAAGAGGGGAATGCTGGTCCAGGTGTAGCCATGGATAAGCAACCAATGGGAAGCAGGTGGTATGGAGAGGAAGCTGGTGAAGGCGAGCTTGTAGCCTATCAGGAGGTGGGCAGCAAGGGAGGATGCTGGGAAGGAACAAGACAGGAGGACCACAGGAGAGAACTGCTTCTCAGCAGAGTCTGAGAGCTGAGAGGGAATCCAGCCAGCTCAGCAGGTGGGGTGGGGTGGGGTGGGGTGGGGGCAGCGGGAGAAAGCAAGCTGCTCACCCTACTGAAGTACGAACGCCGGCTGGTTAAGGTTCAGCACAACGGAAAAGGAAGGTGTCCCGACACAGGCTCCAGGGAAGCGGATACGCAGCACCTACTCCCCTGTAAACACTTTACTGGTGGTGGCAAGACCTCGTGAAAACAGGAGATCCTTAACGTGGACTTACCCTCAGATTTGGCAATCTCCAAAAGATAGCTAAATTCAACATACCGAAATATTCTAGAAATTATTTTCTGTTTATAGAAGACAGATGCCTTAATTGTGGTAAGGTGAAATCCAACTGTTATAATCCAAGACCAGATTTTACAAGCTTGTTTTTAAAGGGCTCATACAAAATGAATGACTTTCAAGAGTCCACAGTCATCCAAGAGCAGAAGGATAATTTCTGGCAATGCAAACAGTTCTCAGAAGTGATAATAATAGCAGTGTTCTGCGGTTCCTCTACGATGTATTTCTGTTATTGGTTAATTTTTTAAAAATTTCAAATCTCATGTGGTCAATCTCTTAAAAATAAAAGTATTTCCAATCCAACGCATGTTCTGAAAAGAGGAGGATGAAGAAGGTGATACCCCACACTCAATACACATCAGAAGTAAGGAGACATGGTAACACTTCACAGCACGGAACAGACGTGCGGCCACACCATCTCCTCGTCAGTGGTAACAGCAGTGGACACGGCATCAGATGGAAGAGGAGAGGAAGCTCTGGCCTGGGTGCCCTCTCTCTTCCTGAACCTCCCTTGCCATTCCTGTGTCCCCTTTCTAATGAACTGGTCATCCCACTTTGACATCAGGAAGCCAAGTGCCTATGTCCTCCGTGCAACCCTTAGTTAAGTAAGCTGCAGTAGGTGCTTCTTTCAGGAAGGGACTATGCCTTCTGCCTTTCTCTCAGTATCTCTCAATATATCAGAGTCTCACTCATGAAAAGTACCCATGATTACAGAATAAAACAAAGAAAGGAAAAAATAAATACACTCAGATGAGGAGCCTAATGTCTCTTTAAATATCTTTCCAATCCAGGCACCTATAGGTGGGCTAACCCTGAACTGTTCATCATGGTTGATGACAGAACTCTCAGTTCTTTTGAGATCACCAAGCCCCAGTGGCCAGCCACAATGACACCCACAGGTATCACCTCCAACCCCCCGGCCAGCCTAACTACCCATTGCTTTTCCTTGTTATCATTGTTTTTCAGACCTTTGTCAGACCTGTTGCGTTGTGGCACACTGTATCCTGCCTGAAACGACTTTCCATTTTTAAAGTGATTCCTACTTCCCATGGTGTGATTATAAGCCCTTAGAAGAAAAACGAAGTATCATATAAGAGAAAATGTCTCCATTAGGAAGTTACTGTATGTTTATGCTTGTGCTGATAAATCTATTTCTCATTGTCCAGGGATGCCATTTCTTCTTCAGTAATGGGCTATGACACTAGAAAAAGGCGAAAAAGCAATAGATTGAAGGGTCCAAGAAATGTGTTTCTTTTCTTGTCCCAGGAATATGTAAATATCCCTTTTCAGGTAGTAAAAACAAAAAAAAAATTAAGATGTAAAGTATCTAAAGATAGGGGCTGGGGGTTTAGCTCAGTGGCACAGCGCCTGCCTGGCAAGCGCAAGGTCATGAGTTCGATTCCTGGTACCAGAAAAAAACCAAAAAAAAAAAAAAGTATCTAAAGATAAAAGTACATATTTTGGTCACTTTGCAAGGCCGTAAGTAACATTATTTAGTCCCACTATGAAAATGTCCCTTCAGATATGTTAAAAGGCCCTCTGAGATGCTATACAGTTCAGGGTCTAGGGATGTCAATGCATTGCACAGTGCATATGTACACTTGCATTTAAATTTGTATGGAGTTCCTTCAGACACAAACTCTTTAAGAACCATCCCCTGAGGATGAACATCACCGATACCTACTTCGCCACTCTTTCTTTGCTGTATTTATTTCTGCACGCGGTGCCGGGCTCGCGGGTCCTAGCACCTCACATGTGCCGGCCACCTCTGCACCACCGGGCCACACCCTGGCTCTGCTTCCCACCTCCTTCTCTGACACTCAGCACCAAGGGCTGTGTGGTGTTTATGTTTGTCCAGTGCTTTGGTAGTGGATAAAAGAAAGGACAACAATGTACTTGTAAGGCAGCCTACTGCTTTAGAACTCTCTAAAGAAGATTTAGAGAGAGAGAGAAAAAAGGAGGATATTATGGAATCACTTCAGTTTATCCACATCCGCAGTAGGGAGAGCAAGCAAAGAATGGCGCTGTGACACAGAAGACAAGTGTGAGGGTTCTGAAGCCAAGTAAAGCCAACCCAACTAGAACTGCGCTCTTGGTCCCAGCTGGGCACACTGGGCACCGTCTGCGATAGGAGGCAGCTGTGGAACATCCAGGATGGAACACCAAGTAGGACAACTGCTCGCATGTTCATTTCACCTCCCAACATGTCAAATGCCAAAGCACCACCAAGCTTTTCAAGCTGTACCACACTACCACCACTAACGGCTATCAACTTTCTTATAGTGTACGTACCAGGCTCCACTACAATCCATGGCAAATGTCATAATGCTCCTTAGGTTCTCCTCTTAAAACTTTTTGGGTAAACTCTGATCCCAGAAGATTTATCACCATGACCCCCAGAATGGGTGAGGGAGGGAATGTCGGGAGGTGGTGAAGCACTGCTGATAATCTCAAGTTTTCCTCTGCCACTGAATGGACTGAGACCTTGTAGCCAAGACACAGTATTAGATCAGTGCAGTTATTTTCACAAAACACATAAATTGCAACCTTGGGCTTTTGAAGAGTAGGCAAATAATTCCTGATTCAGAGGCCAGCAGGACTCTCCGCTAACAGCAGACGCACGGTGGCAGCCGGCCAGCCCCGTGACTGTGACTCAGTACACAAGTTTCTGGACCCCACGGTCGGCTATGGGAAGGACACCTATTTGTAAGGGGGGAACTGAACGGAAGCAAGGGCTCTCTAGGCAGTAAACAGGACCCTACAAAAAGGTACAATGAAAAAGCAAAAATTTATATTGCGTTTGTTAGGGTTTTTTGAGCCTTGGCCTTACTCAAATATTTCCCATCAGAATTTGCTAATAATTTAAGATTCTTTATTATTTGATTTGGAAAATTATCCAGGCGACCATTAATGGAACACACAAAACATGCTATCAGTCAGCAGTCCAAGTAAGTGGCATGAACTCCACCTTCCTTCGACGACAACTCCAAAAGCAGCATCACTGCTGAACAAAGCCAGGAGTCAAAAATTTCGTTTAGGTACAGCTGAGTATACACCTATATATGTATTTAGAAGAATGGGGTATGTTAACCCTTTCTGTATTAAAATGGCTTCATGAAAACTACAAAAGGTGAGACAAAGAGAACCATACAAAATGAAGGCTGCACACATCCTTGAAGAAACAATAGCACATTAGTTCTGCCAAGATCCAGCGTCAAATCAAGAGCACTGCTGCCCTGACTTAATTAGAATGTGTTTCACTGAATTCTCTTTGATCACTCGTTATTCAGAAGAGTCAGGACTGCATGCAAACAAGTCAACTGGGTGCTGAAACCACCTAAAAGACACCCACACTGATGGAACATCAGGCTTTTCAAAACAGAAGGGAACCAATAAGAATCACTTCCAAGCACATGCACCCCTAAATCCCGGTAAAAACAACATTCTTTTTAAAATAGATTAGCTGTTTACCAGGCAAGCTGCCTCTGGGAGAATGTATTTCAGTATAGAATGCTGGAGTACAAGAATATCAACAAAGGGAGATCAAATTAAACAGATGACACCACAAACACACTTCGTCTCATGCATAGCCGTGCTCTTTATAAGACATAAAGACTTAGAGTAATTACCATGAACTGAGACTCCTTCACTGACCTCCTGCTGCAGCCAGAGGTCCCTAACCACCGACGCTCTACAACAAAGACATACGCCTGCTCTTCTGTGCCTTCTTCCCTCCTTACTGTTACCAGCCAAGCACCTCGCTGTTACAAGAACACAGCACAGTACCTCTGTATCTATGTCTCCAATGCAGCATAAAGATCACTGTGGAAACCTATCAAACAGG